CCGGGGTCAGGACTATCTGGTATGGGTGTCAAGTCCGATCTGCGCTGGAACGAGGAGCATAGAGCGCCTAGGACTTGGCTGTCGGAAAAGATCAAGTAGTTCATCTGTCAAGAACCTGTGTGGAGGGTTTGAGGATTACATTTGTCAATGAAAATCCAACCCTCGTCCCAACCAAACGTTGTGGTGCTAACTCCCCCAAAACTCCCCGACGGCTCTTCTGGAACATGACCCCGAACCCCAACGCCATTCACCTGTCATTCCCCTTGCCATTCACCCTTCGCTGGGTCGAAGACAACTTGGCCTTCCGGTCCTGTGTCACGGCCGCTACTTCTTCCCTGCCCTTGACCCAGTCCAGCACCTCCTCGGATGGCAAGGTGACCCCATAGGCCTTGCTGCCGACCTTGAGCTCCAACAGGCTCTCATCGTCCACTTCACACCGGCAAAAGTGAATGTTCAGCTCGGCTGAACATGTTGCCGAAAATGATGATTTAGGCTTCAAAAAAAACTGGCCTGAAAATGTACTTGAAAAGAACAGATTCAGGGAAGCTTAATAAGGTGCCAAAATAAAGGAATTCAGCAGGACATTTGGCTGGGCTTAATGTGGTCATTTCGGCAGCCAATTTTGAGTGTTTGAAAGTGAGACTGAAAACCATTCAATGGGCCACACATTAAGACTGCCTGAAAACAACAATTTCGGTGTCACCGAAACTGTAGCTGAAAGCAATGCTTTCGGCTACACTTTCAGCTATGCCGAAAGAATCACATTTGGCGTGGCCGAGATTGGAGCTGAAAGAAGTTGTTTCGGGTCCAGCCGAAATAGCAGCCGAAAGGTGTTATTCCGGCTGGAGCCGAAAGTGCAGCTGAAAGTAACACTTTCGGAGCAGCCGAAAATAAGCGGCCGCTGGCGGCAGTTGGCGGCAACTAACTGTGGCAGTGCAGCGGCCATGTGAAAAACATTTATTCAACCACATTGCGGCACCAGGGCGCACGACCACAGCTATAACTCGATCTCAATATCGGTGGGATAACTGCCATACAACTATGATCTTTATAATCTAATTATTAGTATATTGCATTGCTGCTCAGCGACCGATGCACTGCCACAGTTAGCTGCCGCCAACTGCCGCCAGCGGCCGCTTATTTTCGGCTGCTCCGAAGGTGTTACTTTCAGCTGCACTTTCGGGTCCAGCCGGAATAACACCTTTCGGCTGCTATTTCGGCTGGACCCGAAACAACTTCTTTCAGCTCCAATCTTGGCCACGCCAAATGTGATTCTTTTGGCACAGCTGAAAGTGTAGCCGAAAGCATTGCTTTCAGCTACAGTTTCGGCGACACCGAAATTGTTGTTTTCAGGCAGTCTGAATGTGTGGCCCATTAAATGGTTTTCAGTCTCACTTTCAAACACTCAAAATTGGCTGCCAAAATGACCACATTAAGCCCAGCCAAATGTCCTGCTGAATTCCTTTATTTCGGCACCTTATTAAGCTTCCCTGAATCTGTTCTTTTCAAGTACATTTTCAGGCCAGTTTTTTTTGAAGCCTAAATCATCATTTTCGGCAACATGTTCAGCCGAGCTGAACATTCATTTTTGTCGGTGTGCTTGAGTTTTCAGTTGGGCAAGGTGGTCTCCGCGTTGCGCGATGGATTTGAGAGAGACAATATAGCGGTTCGGAATGAACTCGCCCGGCGGCAGCGTTTCAAGCGTTTTCAAAAGATTGGGTGCTGCGTCGGTCAGACACTGACGAGCTGGAGGTAGGAAAGACCAAGCACATACTTTGATGGGGGGAAGACTGGGTGGTTGGTTCTGTACGTGACGATCTGAGTAGGATTTCATCGCACAAGAAACAAGACGCACCCAAGTCGTTACTGTCCATTGTGGTGGGGGAGAAAGCTGTATTCCGAGCTGCAGTGTCGGTGGTGGGCGTTAGGTGGAGTTATTTATATAGTCTCCCATATCTTGACATGTAATATCTTGGGCGTTCCTTATATCAGTACGCGTGATGTTCGACCTAAGACGTACGCCGAGCAGTCTGCAAATGGGAATCGACGCGTCTCACTCGATAGCACAGGAACGAGAAGGAAAGGTCCACGGAGTCTGTTACAAGCTGCGCAGAAATACCGAAACTGATAGGTACCCCCCGTGACAGTGACAGTGCCATGAGTATCGACGAGAAGAGTGGGAGTGGGACTCGGCCAAGCACCCCGGTTGGTGCGGAGTCCCACTAACGAAAACCTGATGGAATGAACTTTACGGCAGGATAAATAAAGAGGTAGCAACAAAATACAAGAAGTGCTAAGCATACGTGACCATGGCAGACTGCACAGCAGAGCGCCGCACTAGATAGCTTTACGTTGGAGACCTTGTGGGAATGCTGCCCAGTGGTGTTAGAATCAGTCAAAGTGGGGAAACACAGATAAAAAGCCATGCTTACCGACTTCGTTCTGGCCGAACGGGACAAGGAAGTTAAAGACGGAGAGCATGGCCGATACGTCGTCTGACAAAGGATAGCTGATTTGCTTGGCAACCCTTCGGCCAAAGGTATCCTGAGACTTCTTCATCGCGACCCCCACGAAGGAACGAGGCATGAAGCATGTCGCACGGAAGTCGAGGGCGAACAGTTGGCCGTCCTGACGCTTTTTGAAGTTTCGCGGTTGGATATCGCAAGGGCAGAGACAAAGACCGCTCTTCGCGTCAGCCACTAAGTCGACACGCCTCGGGTCCTTCATGTATTTGAGGATCTGTCATGGCCCAGAATCATCAGAGTGCCCTGAAATGCTGGCAAGCACTCACGTTGTTGATGTGATCATTCAAGTCTTGAACGGACTTGTAATCGGCAACAGGGATCCAGTCGAGGAAGAAGGAGTGCACGATAGACTCGCCGCCGATGTGGCCAAGGGTGGCACCGGGCGCCGGGAGATCGATCAAGGTTTGAACAGCTGTGGCCACTTGGAGAACGTCGCCTGACTCGCAGTCGGGAGCGTCGATGAACTGCATCGCGATGTAGCCGATCGTGCAGGAGGGGTTCTCCCTCGTGAAAGCATGGAAAACGCGGGGGACTTGCAAGCCACAGGCTGGAGTGCCGTCGAGAGCCTTGGCAGTCCAGTCCTGCGTCAGAGCCTCGGAGATGGTAACGTTCGGACCGTACTTGATCCAGGCGATGACCGACTGAGAAGACTGATCGAGGAGCGTGGTTCCGCTGGCTGTGAAGCCAACCTGTCGACAACGGGCGATGATGACCTCTTCAGAGGGTAGATATTCGTTGGCGAGAAAACCGTGAGTCGAAGATGGCATATTGACTAGTAGGGAGCATCAGTCTCCTACCCAGCCGGTTTCGAGGTTCATCAAAGTCGCAGAGGAGATTTGGCTGACCGGGAGATTAAGCTTGAAGCGTCAAGTTGCGGTAAGGATCGGGAGAAAACCGAATTACAAAGACTCATCATCTTTGCTCTCTCGTCCAGCAGACCCTAGGCCTGGTGCATCGCAAGTCGCAGTCTCCTCGGATTCAAGGCAACTTGCTGGGTCAACCATCCAATAACCATCTTGTGCAAACGTCAAAATTGCTGCGGAGTGTCTTGGGTAGTTTGCCTGTCTATTCCGGCCCAAGCTCTGAAGCAAATCAAAGCAGATAATGCTAGCACCCGAATCCCGCCGACGGGCCATCGCGTTGCGTCAGCACCGCCGCGTAATGCGGCACAAGTATCCGTTTCCCCGTTTTATGGCTGACGTTGCACAGCAGATCCTGCGGGCGGCCCACCCGTCCCACGGAATTTGACCCGTCTCCAATGGTCATCCGTATTGCTTCGGTCCCATATTTAAAGGGCCGCGGAACTCCCTTTTTTTCCCCAATTTAGTGTCAGGCATCCAACTTTACTTTTCAACACACAATGACGCTCCCCCCGCACTTTACCACTCTCGACCTCAGTGGCCGCTTCATTCTGGTGTGTAGCCGCATACCCTTTTCAACCGTCTAAATCTCACCACGTATATTCGTCGTAGAACACTTCGCTCAGCGACTCCGCCGAGCAGATACTGGAGCAGCAGGGTGTCGCGGATGCTGCGCTGCGCCACGCGATTGCGCATGGGGTATTGTCCTTCAACCATTACACAAGCGATGACGGGGAACAACATATCTGGGTCGACCAGGCGCGTTCAAAGCCACATTACCCGCCGATCTCGCACTGACTTGTTCACAGGAACTCGAGGGACGGTGCCTCACCGCCGACGAGGATCGTGCGCTCGACTGGCGAGAGCGCGCACGGGACGACCCCCTCGTCGGGCCCGTCGTTGGCCGGATACGGTCCGTCTTGCCACAATTTCACCGTTCGAACTCGAGGCTAATTTTTTTATTTGGCGAACCCAGACGCGTAAAAACACACGCGCTAGAACCCCCATTCCTGCGCGCGGGCTGGACGCCCGACACGCGCAAATACGGCGTCTTAAACTACGCCGTCTACAGCGACACGAAGCGCAGCGGGCGGACGTGGGCCGTTACAGAGGTGCGTTTTCGCTTGCCTCCTCTTCAGTGTACTCAAGCTCGATTTCGTGTTGCAGACCTGGGGCATAGAGGAGATCGCCGGCATGCGGCACTTTGCGCGACATATCGAGTTTACGGGCCCGGATGGGAAGGACGTGGAGCGGCATCTGGTGTATGATTATGGTTCGTCCCGCGTCTTTTGTGCAGAGGAGGGAGACGCTGACGCGATGGTGTAGTTGGGTCTGTTTAGGGTTTGTCGTGGATATTCGTGATTATCGTCCAGCTTTGTATGCCCCGGAAGAATCAGAGCAAGAGGAGAACACCAAAATAGTAATACTGTATTCGAATCTACTGTATCTAACAATCTGTATACCAACTTCTCAATTCACTTCTCCGCCCATACTGAAAGAAATGTCCCCGGTTATTTCAGATGCGGAGAACACTCGTTCCAATCGGGCCCGAGCCATGGAAAGATTCCGTCATTTTTTGCTGCCCACGAAATCCTGAACGTATTGAGAGCAGGAAGGCTCGGTGGCGAATGGTCCGCGTCTGCTGCACGTACATGTTCAAGCAGAGGGTGCTCGTTCGAATCGGGCCCGAGCCATGGAAATCCGAATCAACAGTTTCAATTTTTTTGGCTCCACTTCCTTGCGAAGAACTCCAATGCAGGGAATATATGATGTTGAGTGCTCAGGAAATCAGTATCGAGTGTCCAAGTCTTTTGAACCACACATCCAGTTCGAATCGGGAGTGCACATGCACATATGAATTTTTTTGGGGGGTCTCAACCTCACCGCAGATCGTGGAGTTGGATAAATTGTGTTGCTCGGAAAACAAGGTAAGCATGCAGTGTTCAAGTTTTTTATTTAAAACCACACGGCCAATGTTAGCCGACAGATTGAAACTGTACCGTGTTCCCCTCTCGAAAACTCGCCCGTCTATTTAGAGTCAGGGTCAACAATGACTCGGAGTAGGCAAGGCCTGGTGGAGGGAGGTCCGCATCTGCAACGCTGTCTAACAGTTCCAGAAAATCAAGCAGAAATCGCTCGTTCGAATCGGGCCCGAGCCGCTACCTCTTCTGCCATATTTCTTTTTGGTCCCTGGTACAGTCACACTGCCAATTGATACGCCATGAATGTTGAATTGTATCGTCCCTAAAAGGAGATGTAGACTTCAAGTTTTTTTTCAGTTCAGCCAACGTCACGTGATCACTGGGAATTCAACCGCAGCAACTTTCTCAGGTCAAGAGGGGGTCAGAAAGGCTCCGTAGCGGGAGGTCCGCATCAGCAACGATTAATGCGCCCACCGCCAATCAAACCATCCGTTCGACTCGGGCCCCAGCCATATAAGATCCAAAGAACTCATATTTTTTGCCCGATTTCAAGAGCATAAGATTCGCCCAAGAACCAGATCTACACTCGGCGCGGGGCCGAAGCTGGAATACCGTTAAGTTGTATGTTTCGAGACGCGCGAGGGGCGCAAAGTGGACGGAGGCGGTGCGCGGTGAGGAGGAGAAATAGACGGGAGGAGAGAGCAAAGAAGACATCGAATTTGGCACCAGATCTTCGGGTTCTTCGAGTACACATCAATTTCCAGATGCACATTCATTCGTGTAACACTCCCAATGCCCGACGCTGTGGTCTTCTAATACAAATCTACAATTTCGCAAACACATTACTCTTCCTGCGAATCCCAGTCAGCGTCATACCCAAAGTCGCGTAGCAGCAAACGACTCACCTTTCTTTCCCACCCCCTCCCCCACCGCCAAACACCCACCTCTCCAAATCCCCATACGTCCGCCCCTCCAGCCCGCCCCTCCCCATAAACTTTAACACCCTTGCCACAACCTCCACCAGCTCCACCGTACACCCCCGCCCCGCAAACTCCTCGCCGAACCACGCCTCCTGCAGCTGGTACACCAGCAGCTGCGCAGGCGCGACGCGGCGCATGAGGATCTCAATGGGGCACTTCGGCTGCCCGAGCGAGGCGGCGAGGCGCGCGAGGGCGTCCCACGCGGGGACGGCGTGCTGCAGGCGCCAGCTGTACCCGATGGATGTGCGCTGTTCCGCGTGCTCTAGCTAGCGCCAGATATCACTTATAAGGGGGAGCAGATGGAGGAGGGACTTACAGACTGCTCCCGATGTTCGACCGCGCGCATCTTCTGCACGAAGGCGTTGACGAAGGCCCAGAGCGAGTGCTGCGCCAGTAAAACGGGGATCAGCGCCGTGTTCAGCTGCAGCGGAAGCCCGCGGACGTCGGACACGTCCTTCACGGCCTCGTACCGCCCTGCGCCCCGGGATCAGCCGTGCTCTACATAGAAGTAGAAACGCGAAAGAACTCACGATTCGTAGTCTTCGCATAATACGCCGGCTCCATCCGCCCGCCAAGCTGGCTCCAGTACAAGCTCACCGCGAGGCAGAACGCGCTTTCCGCGAGGAGCGGCACGCTCACGCCAAGCGCGCGGCTCATCTCGCCCAGCGGGAGCTCCACGACGACGTACCGCCCTCGCGCGCGCACGTCCGCGCCCGCGCCGCACCGCGCGGTGTGGAACCCCGGCAGGCGCGCGCACGGCGCGAGCTCGCGCGCCCAGAACGCAAAGTCGGGCGTGCGCGCGAGGCGCAGCGCGTGGCGCACGTACCGCGCCCACGGCGCGCACCCGTGCGGACGCACGGCGGTGTCGGGGCGCAGGTACAGCGCGCCCGCGACGCCCTGCAGGACTTCGCGCGAGCCCGCCTCGAGAAAGAGGTGCGCGTGGGCGAGGGCGAAGAGCGTGCCGCCCGGATGCGCCGCGAGGAGGAAGTGCGCGCCGGGCATCCCGAGGGAGTGCCGGAGGCCCGCGACGTACGTCTGCAGCGCTGCGCGCGCCGCCTTCGCCGAGCGTGCGCGGAGCGTTACCCAGTGCGGGGCGCGCGCGCGCGGGGAGAGGTATGCTGTGTTCACGGCTTCTGTGTACGTTGGATCTTGCCCCGGTACGCGTCCTACGAGCGTGCCACGCAGACACTGCTCGCAGATAAGCGGATGTCCGCGCGCTGAAGGGACGTGCTGCTCACCGACTCGTGCTCATACACCGTGTTCCACGCGCTGATCCAGCGCGCGATGTCGACGTCCGGTCCTAGCGCGAAGACGTCGGCGGTGAACCATGCGGAGGTGTGCGGCGTGCGCTGGGCATCGCGGTACATGAACGCCTGGCCGTGGATGAGCGGGAACGCGTCCTCGACGCCTTCGGGGGGCACGCCGAGTTGGCGCGCGATGTTTACCTGGGCGCGTGCGCCGCCGACGAGTTCGAATGGCGCGGGGTCCGCTTCCTTCAGCTGAATGCAATGAGTCGCTTTCTGGACCAGGTCGCCGTGCTCACGTTGGGTAGGACTACCAGATCGTTTACCAAGGTGGGGACGGGAACGGCGAGTTCAAGAGAGCTGGGCGAGATTGCAGTGCTAGTCACAAGCGCGGTTGAGGTGGACGGCGGGGCGGGCAGGTCGACTACAGAAGCCATGGTTGACGGAGTCCCGATCGTTACAAAATTGTTTGTTTGGAGAAAATTTTATTTGACAAGTCGACGCTGGTACTTGAACCGCACAGAACTCGGTCCAAACCCAAGACTCGGATGCATTCGAACCTTCCAGTCCAGTCCCAAGAATTCCCCAAGGAAAATATTACATTTATTCCGTTGAGGAGCCGAGTAATTGGGGGGGATTAACCCATGGAATTCTTCTTTTAATCCTTCCAAAGTACAGCGACAGAGACCCGAAGGTGGTAAAAGCAACATGAGAGGCGGAGGCAAGAGGCATTTCGGGTGTTCGGCCGATGCAGGCGTCGGGTGCAATTGCCTCTCGCACTCTTTTCATGTCATCCAACGGCGCAAAGTCTAGTTCTCAGCTGCTGAATATGCTTAAGCCCAGCACTGTAACGAGGGAACAAAATCAAACGAAGGTGGATTAACTTTGGGCTCGCAACTTTTCTTCTGCACCTTGTCTGCACCTCTAGGCCTCAAACTGCCTCAAATTACTTTCGAGTGCCTGTACTGTTCTGCCTCAGAATGTCGACGATTCCTTAGCCAACAGAAGTCGCGTGTCAAATGTATCCGAATGTTTACGCCAGCGGGTATAAAATCTGGACCAACTTGGCACAAAGAAACTCGTTCTTTCGTTCAAACTATCATGACCGCCATATCCAACTCTATGCCCGCCATGCCGCACACTATGCCCGCCGTGTCCCACACTATGCCCCTGTCACATCCTATCCAAGAACCCGCGTCTGCTACCACGATGCCCACGTACCGACGGACCATGAGCCAGAACGAGATGTACGTGTCTGCATCATCACCCACGGCGTGTCCTGAATACGCCCAGTTCGTACTTTCTTCCGAGCAGGGCCTACGGGCTGAACGACATGTCATGTACGTGCCGCCCCTCCTCACTTTCCACGCAATTGACGCGCCCAAGGCCGCCTCATATTCCGCGCACCCCCGACGCTGATCACGCCAATCCGGATTCGCATCGTGTGGGCAATCATGCGGCTACGGCACACACTCATGGCGTGTCGATTCGAGATGGAGCCGGGGTGCTACGACGACGCGCAGTTCGTGTAAGTGGCCCGCGACGGCGTTTGTCGAGCGACAACTAACGCCCGCTCGGCCCCCCAGATACACCCCGCCGTCCACCCCGCGTGAGGCGCTCGCCGAGGCCGCCGCCTGCGTGCGCGTGTACAACGACGTCACCGGCCCCGAGCTCATGCAAGACTTCCTCTCCGGCCCGCGGACGCTCTCCGCCGACTGCCTCTCCGCGCTGCACGTTGCCAACCACGGGCGCGTCGCCCCCGGCATCAACGAATACCACATGCTCGCTATGTACCACCACGGGATAAACGACACCCTCGCCGTCGGCGGGAGCCTGCAGATCACGCTCGAGTTGCTCGGCGGACCGGCCACGCCTGGGGGCGCGCCCAGGTCCGACGTCGAGCTGGCGCGATTGCTGGACGACGAGTGGAGGCGGCGATGGAGTGTCGCGCGCGATCCCGCCGATGTGATCGTCCCCGCCACCGAGGCCAGGATCTTGGGGCTCCCGCGTTCCAAGTTCTGCGAAGCGGCGTGGAAGGTCGACCACCAACTCATCCAGAAGCGGTTCATCGTATGCACGCCCTTCTTCACGGCGTACGCTTTATTCATCCGCTGCACAGGGTGGCCACGTCTTCCCCCGCATCAAGACCACCGTCGTTCAACACCGCCTTTTCCAAGTCAAGTTCAGCGTTGCACAAACGACCGCCATCCTCGCCAAATGCAAATCCCACGGCGTGACGCTCCAAAATACCATGTTCGCCCTCTGCAACGTCGCGTGGATCCGCCTCTGCGCGGCGCACCCCGAGATTCCCGCACCAAAGGCGCTCCCCATGCTCATGTACACCGCGATCTCGATCCGCCGCTACCTCGCGCCGCGCTCCCCGCTCTCGTCGGACATGTCGCTCGCGCTCGAGTACTTCAACGTCGTGCTGCCCGCGTTCCTCCCCAGGAAGGCGGATCCACGGAAAGTGTTTTGGGCAAGGGGCCGCGCGGTGCAGCGGCAGATGTTTGCGTATGCGCATAGCCCGCTGTTGCTTGGCCGGTCGCTC